GCAAATGATTTGCTAATTACAGCACGTCCCATCACTCTACAAACGAGAAACTCTACAAACGAGGCGGTAAAAAGCAGACGTATCGAACTCGCCAATCGTGGAATGTTCTTTTTTATGCATGTATATCACGCTAGTTACCGCAATGTGTTTTAAACGTTATTTGGCTTAAAGTGAAGATTACAAAATGTGCATATAAACAACCTCGTGACGACACGAGTCTTGCCATAAATACGGCCCACAACGATTATTAACGCGTCCCTCTCCGCAACTCATCGGGTATTGGAGTGGGAATATTTACACTTGGGAGCACGGTGATTATAACACTGTGTTACCAACAAAATTATGTGTTCCTGAGTAGTAAGTGTTACTATTTCCTAATTGCTTGTGCCTCAAAGTACAGAAAATGGCTATTAGTCCCCACAAACTTTGCTTTTGTGACCAGGACAGGGATATTTTGAAATTCACCTATTTTCAATGAGAACACGTGGTGTGCATTTGTGTCATTCCTTCACATGAAGTCCAGGTCACAAAATCAAAATTTGTTACAAACGGTTTAATGAGTTATCAAGTTTTACTAACCCTTTTATAAATGCTCTATGTGTGCCCTCCACCTGCTGTACGGACAACATCGAGACAATAGTTGAATTCGTCCCAAACGCCTCTCTTCTCACGTTTTCCTCTGAGGTGCGTGGTCGCCCTGTGCTCTTCCCCTTACATCAACAGCAGCCCGTTTCCTCAAATTGTCGGTACCAACGACGAACGCTCTTTGACATTGGCGGATCAATGCCAAAACGTCGTTGAAACGCACGTTGCACCGCAAATTACGGATTCAGTCTTGCTGAACTGCAGAACGCAAAACGCCCCTTGTGTTGCGGTGGGGTCACCGTCTTACGAATGACTGAGGCTAGGGCAGGGGTGGGCAAATTTTTTGACTCGCGGGCCACAATGGGTTCTAAAATTTGACAGAGGGGCCGGGCCAGGAATAGATGGATGGAGTGTTTGTGGGAACATATAAATGACATGTAAAAATCATTACATGAAAGGATTTGGCCTTTAACAGGTAGCAAAGCATTTCTTTGCAAGGCAATTTAACAAATTGCACGAACATGAACAATACAAAAATATGTCGTAACTACCGGTCAAAGTGCGCCATCTAATGGGGAAATGGGGGCATTACAGGAGAAAGGTAACATTTTATTTAATAATACTTGGACAAGTTCGGCGGGCCGTATTATAAAGCCCAACGGGCCGTGTACGGCCCGGGGGCCGTGTACGGCCCGGGAGCCGTACTTTGCCCATGTCTGGGCTAGGGGCTGTTTGTGCGCTGGGAGAGGCATCTAGCGGTAGTGGCCGACCGAAACTGAATTTCTTGTTTCGGCTGAAACCGAAAGTAAACTTTTTGGCACCGAAACCGAATTTAGGTCAGCCTCTAATTGTCAGACTTCGAATCTCGGTATTAACACGCGTGTAGACTTAAGTGAACGCAACACATAAGCCAAGGCGGGCAGGCGGCTGGGAACAGACAACAGAGGCACTTTGTTGTCGTCCCACCAAAGAGACTCCACACACGGATGGAGATGCAGGCTACCGTCTGCTGACCGGTCGTATGAACATTAGCAGACCATGGTTGCGGCTGTAACCTCGCTCCCAAGCTGCTGCTGCTGACGTGTGTGTGTTTGTGTGTACGTGCGTGTGTTTTTGCAGCCTATCGCATAGGATTGCCTAGCGCCGACTGACCGGCCAATAGGCAGAGTGATAGACGTAGCACGAGCGTTATATACTAAAATTGATCTTCGCTTGACGAATGACGGCCGAAAGTCAATATCAGTTTCAGCCGAAACCAGACCGAAAGTGAAAAATTTACTTTTGGCCGAAACCGAAAGTATGCCGAAAGAGGGCATTTGCCAACTTTCGGCGCTGAAACCAAATTTCGGTCAGCCTCTATCTAGCGGTAATCATTTAAAACTCTATGCCCCGCCTTTTCAAGTGGTAAGAGTTTCATTCATGAGCGGTTCGTGGTTGCAGAAATATAGCGATTTCAAATCGGGTCCATCATTTTTAAACACCCTGTACGGTGCGTGATTCAGTAAGTCCTCACTTGCAAGGGCCACTTTACAGTCTGTCGACACTGACGGTTCCTTTCCAAGTTATTGTTGGATAAATAAATTTTAAGTTCGTAAGTTTAAACCGGGTGAGAACTCAAGAAGTTCCAGGATGAGTCTCATGTTTGTAAGAGCAGAGAGACCTGGCTAACCAAAATGGAAAAGGGAAAACCACTTTAAAATGTTGTTCCCTTTTAATTGTCGGTGTTGATATCGCCACCTGGCAGGCACACGTGGCATTGCAGCGCATCGGATGTTTGCAATTGCAATACAAAAGCCCTTGCACAGTAAGTCCCCGGGTTTGCGGAAGACCCGACTTACGGAAATTCGCCTTTAGGGAAACGCTCTCGTAAAAATATAATTTCACTGCGCGGAAAATGTTGCGTTAGCTACATTAGCGCAAATAGTGCAGCGCGGTGAGGTTGCGGAATAATACCACCTTCACCGAGCCCGAGCTTCACAAGGATTACGGTAAATTGAAAAGTTTGTAGCGTTACGTACTTTTTTCCTTTTGTAGAATTACGTAATTGTTTGTTTTCTACGCTTAGAACTATCTTTTTTTAAAAGTTTACATTGCTAGTTTTCTTAATTTTAAGTTTATTTCATGATTTATTTACTGTATTTACATTATTTCACACAATTACACTTCGATTGCTTATAGTCTCAGCCAACAGCGATCAGATAAGTCTAGGCCTAGCCTTATGCACGGTAAACGAACATACGGAAGTGACTACTTTCTGTTAACAATTAATATTAAAATGTTTCGTGGTATTCATAAACAATTGGATACAGTATATGTTCCATTACTTTAATTATGGGTAGTTAAAGGTAGATTTTCGACGAAATGAAAGAATCATAGGAAGTGCAGAGTGTATGCACAGCGATACGATACGGGTAGGGATAGAGAACAGAGAGAACACCAACTAGTAATCGGGTAATAATAGGGTTTTTCCCCTTTTTTTCTGGCAACAAAACCGAAACCTTTTTACGAGGATTCATGTCTGCATTAACCACAATACCTGCAGTCAAAATGCAAACAAAAAACATACTATGATAATATATGCATTGTCCTTGAAACTGATTGGTCCACATCAAGGGACCGCTTTCTTTTGAGCCTCGACCCAATTGGTGCTCGACCAGGTTATCAAAAAAAACCCGTCCCTTGGTGTGGACCAATCAGTTTCAAGGACAATGCATATATTATCAGTGTTTTTTGTTTGCATTTTGACTGCAGGTATTGTGGTTAATGCAGACATGAATCCTTGTAAAAAGGTTTCAGTTTTGTTGCCAGAAAAAAAGGGGAAATACCCTATTATTACATTTTGGTACTGGCAAAGGAGGTCTAATGATGTAGTAATCAGGTAGTGGAGGCACAATTATTTCCGGCTATGTAATTTTATCGTTGATTGAGGGAAATTGTTCAGCTCTAACATATGCAAAATTCGGGTTGCGGATCGTTCTCGGGAACCAAACCCTTCTGTAACATGGAGACTGCCTGTATATCTAAATCAGCTCAAGCCTCCTGTAAATCAAGTGACTGTGTAGCTACCCCCAATCTGAATCCCTCCACTCTGCCTGCCCTGTGTAGACTCGCCACTCCGTGCAGCTCACTCCTAAATTTAAATGGGTCAAGTTCCGTGTCCATTATCTGGCCTTACTATTGAAGCATAAAGCTTAGCTTTTGAATGCATATGAAGTTAAATTTTCTATATCTTAATGTTGTCAATGAAACATAGAAAAAGCATCTATTCACACAACTGTTATGATGGATCACCTGCATAAAAGTGCAAAAATTGAGAGGTTACATCTCAACTAAAGCGAATTACGACATACAATTTTAATGTCCACATTTTAGTCCATGAGACTATGGGCCCACTGCAGCTTTAAGATATTTTTCAACTGGCCTTTAATTTGCTCAGGTGAGAGGTCATCTCGATGAATAAAAATCTGCACATTTTTTTACTCGTCAGCAACCATCAGGCAAGATAGAACGATTCATCTCATTTCCAAACCGCGTTTATTCATGATCAGAGGTCAGTCGATCACATGGCATCAATCGCTGGCGGCCCAATTTGCGACCCGCCGTGAGATCGAAGTGAAATTGGCGTTCCCTGCAAGAGCCAGAATCACTGGCTGCCCTCACGACAGCAGCTGCCCCATCCACACTGCACGCACGCTGATCTTTGCGTCCTTCCCCTGTACAGAAGCAGGCTTTTATAAAGGCCATGACACGCTCAGGTATTTACTCGGTAGAAATTGTCACCAACGATACATTCCCACCCATGCCATCTTGGTACGGTATTTGCACACAGCAGGGGGGGGATGATTGCCAAACATCCTGAACCTACCTATGAGTATGAGCCGCAAACTAAAATCTTAATATGGCCGAGGGTGATAAAGTCACTTTGGGGTGTTTACCTGGACCAGTTCGCTCACGATGGTTGGCTGCGGAGTTTTGAATTGAGAAATCTGTGGGAGCCCCCCCCCCCCCCCGGGAGTACTAATGTCTGGCTCCATTGGCAGAGGTGAGTGCAGATCATTCCTGATTCAAATAAATGTACTGTATAATTAAATGGAAATACAATTTGCTATGTCTCTCTTTGAAGTCCGTGGGAGGCCCAGTTTGTTCACCCCTGGCATAGGGATTTCTGTCTAGCCATTGAAAACATCGTGTGTCTGATGAACAACTATTGGTCTACATACAACCCTGGGTAGTCATGTGACATGTTTCAGTGATCTGAATAGAAGTTGTCATCCGATTTTACCACAAGCGGGCAAGCAGTTATTTTTTTATCTTAGCAGGTAAGGCCCACTGTGCTAAACTCTTTTTCAGAAGCGACCTGGCCACAAATGATAGCTCAATTGGCTTATTAGGTATAAATGTATATCAGCCAAATACTCTTAAACACCTGTTGAATCTAAATGTGGAAGGAAAAACCAGAGGACCCGGTGAAAAATCCACGCAACCACGGGGAGAACACGCAAACTTGATCGAACCCACGACCTCCAGCATACCAGGCGAGACAGTTAACCTCTCGCCACGGTAGCTGTCATTTCTATCCAGATTTGTGCTGCTAAATGTAACACGGGTCAGATTGCGTGAGTGTGATGCCAATGTGTGTTGTACACCCTCCACACAACAAAGACGAATATATTGTAAGTTGTCATTTAGACAAACGTGGCAATTCGTATTGCATTGGCACACCTGCACATTAACAAGCAATCGACTGTTCTTCAATGTAATCGTTACACGTGGATTCCTCTTCGACATACCAATGTGCCAAAGCAATAAAAATGTGTTCACTTGACAACTTTATTCATGCCACTTTGTTGGGTGGAGGGGGATGTACGACACACTGGCATCACACTCGCAATCCAACCCGTCAGACACGATGTTTGTACCGACACGATCAAACCCAAAAAAATAAATCAGTTACAAATCATCGTGCATCTAAATGTATTTACAGCAACCGCTTCCATCAACGATGACCTTAACATTTCCCTCGTCTACAGAAGTTCCTTTACAAGTTCACGAATACAAAGTTATGACAGCTATACAACGGATCAACAATCATCATTGCAGTGGGTACACGTCACCTACAAAGTACAAAACGCTGCCAAATTAAATGCATTGCATTGTTTTACTGCAGTCGGGAACTTCGATTCCGCTTGTCGATGCCGTACATACACCGCAAGAATGAATGAACCAGACTGAGCATCTAGTCAACTACTCTCACTTTTCACTTGTATCAACAACAAAGTCAAGCACCATGGGGGGGTTACAAGCCCCACCATCTCTGCTGGTGGAAACAGCCCAACAGCAACTGCATACACATACACAAATCTCTTGTCCATCCACCGTTGGAAGAAGGCCTTCCCACGCCGTGCGGCACGTAGGCGTTATTTTACGCGATTATAATTCACCAAGCTGATCCATGCCAGTTGGTGAAGACGTGGGGCATAGTATTGTACAACAATGGGATTCGCTGCATTTCCCTCGGATAACCCACAGTGTAGTCCCATAAATAGCAGCTGTGCATAGGAAAAATTTGCCCGTTCATTTCAAATTCATACTGACAGCTTTGGATATATGCAAATGATGCGTGGCACTCAAGAGCTGAAAACCTTACAGATTCCTGCTGTTAGTTATCACGCTGGTACTATATGGGTCTACTGGGGGCATTTCAGATTGCACCGCATGTCGTTAGGCATGACGTCCAACGTTTCGCTACGTGCTGGAAGCTTCTTCAGAAACTGAAGAAATGGGAAGTGCTGAGGGTACAGGTTAAGACTCTTCAGGAGCTGAATTCAGTTCCTGAAAAAGCTTCCAGCACGTGCAATGAAACGAAGGACATCATGTGAAAGGACACATCGCACAGCCTGAAAACACATTGGAGGACCTACAAGACACGTCCCCACACACACACCACCTTTTACCACCACCTCTCCCTTTTTGCATCTTGAGATCAAACGGGAAAAAAAACACATGAGCATTTACTTTTGCGCGTTAACAAACAAAAGCAGCGGAGCACCACGCCGGCCACCAACGTTTTTGTTAATCTTTCACATTTTGTTCCAATGCATTTTTTTGTCCTTAACTTTCAGCTCGCCATGTCGGACCCTACCTATCCCCTCGTGGGCGGCTGTGCCTCTCGGCCACTCGCTCCCTCGTGTCCAGGGTCTATCAGGGTTAGCAATTGAGAAACATTACCGCGCCCCGCACACTATGTCCAGTATACCTCCCCCGTTATGGTTGTGGCTAACAGTCACACGTGACCCACTTCCAACTTCCGGTTAGCACGGTTGGCTACGAACAGTGTGAAAGAAGTTCAACATACATATATACATACTCCAGTCTACCAGTGACCCCAAATATATTCGGTGAGAAATTGAGTCCCCTCTCCCCTCCACTACCCACATCACCCTCGATGCTATTAGCTGGAGAATCAAGGCCAAGGCAGGAGCGTAGATAGCGAGTGTGCAGGAAGTGCAATTGCACCACAGCCCAAAGGCCAGACGAGCCCAGGCACTGAACTATGAAGAGGGGGTACATTCCTTGCACGAGGGCCAATGTCAACCACACTACGAAACTGGGTCCTCCGAGCCCAAAATTTAGGCAATTCCATGGTCGCCCACCAGCCAGCAAAACTTTTGCCGACAGAGCCACCGATGAATATTCATTATTGTTTTAACAAAGAAAACCTCACTGCGTTTCAAGACTCCTTGTCCAGGAGGGCTCCTGTCATTGGGATGATGCTTGGCCGATTCCACATAAAGGACAGTTTCGCTCTGTGGAAAGAAACCCGGGTAACCAGTGAAGGCCTATCGTGCACAAGAGGTGATAATGCTTGCTCATAGGTCTGAACAGATGGGTTTATGAACCCACTGCACTTTCCACCTCCTAGCCGGCGAGCGAGTGAGATCGCAGGCATGAGTCTCCGCAGTTCCGTCCTACACGTTCACACGCCCTTGAGAGCCCAATAGGCAAGTCGCCTTCCCCACAGTGAGTGAGAGGTAGGGGGTGGGGTGGGGTGGAGGGTCCCTGTAAGATTTTTGCCTCCAGAGTCGGGGAGGGAGGGGCGCAGGGTCAGCTGCCGGAGTTCGGAGTGGGGGTCACAGGTTGCAGGAACGGGCGCCGTAGGGACTGCTGCAGGTAACGCATGTCGTCCTTGAGGCGCAGGCGCAGCACGTAGTACATCAGCTGCTGCCGCTGCTCCTCCATGAGGCCTATCCTCTCCAGCTTGCGCTCCGTCAGCTGCAGCAGCACCACACCTGCCCTCGACACAGACAAAGGGGACCGGCTATGGCTGAGTGGGGGGCACACCTCTGTGGCCGAGAGAGGTCCGTTTGACTGACTCGCGTTAATCGCCCGTGTCCAATTCGAGCACCTGCTTGGCTAAAACCTCCTCCCCGTGCTGCTCCGAGCAGGATAGTACCGCGTAGACACCCAATCACGACAATTTACAATCACGTTCATTAAAAAGGTTAAAGGTACATCGCGGTAATTAGACTCAAACTCAGGATTTATTTCAGCCCGTTGAGGGAAGCAGATCTGGTACAATGATGACCACAGCCTAAGAGTAAATTATTGCCCATGTTACTGTTAGTGGAAGGGCCTTCGCTAGAGGGAGTTCGAGAGAAACCCCTCCAGAGGGTATCTGGCCAATTCATTCACACTGACCAGACCCCTTGAAAGAAGAGGTGGGAGTACCCGCACTTAACCCCCCCCCCCCCCACCATCACCAACCAAAGCGCAACATAGTCAACAAAACTGTTGCGGTAAAGTTGCACGATTCATCTTTCAGAGCTGAGGGAGGGAGGGAGGGAGAGAGTTTCCAGGGACAGCCGAGACTTACCCGTGACGTCGTGCATCTTGAACCGCTCGGCGTAGATCTTGTGCGTGCGTGGGAACACCTTGGTGAGCCACTGACACACGTCCTGCACTGACCACTGCGCCACGGACCGCGCCCTCTTGCCCGGCTGAGTCGCCGCACCCTGGGTGGCATTGGACTCCTGTGGGCGCATGGAGAGTGCCGCTGGGTGAGAACGCGTCGGGACGAAAGGGGCGTGGGAGACGCGGGATGCCACCTCCGCACGAAGACCGGCCGATCTGTAGGGCTACGTTAGGTCGGCAGGGGTTATGAAGATTGTTACCCCAGCTGGGTGGAACTGGGTTCATGGAACAGATGCGTGGGTGAACTCGTGTTCTTTATCGGTAACCGGTTCAACCGGTTCAACCGGTAACCACTTGCTCTTTTGAGAGTCAAGAGACCAGTAATCGATTCCAGCTGCCTTCGATTCTCAGTGAAAACCGCCCCACCGGGAGATGGAATCGAACTGGCGACCTCTGGGTTGCAGGTTCCACCGCCACCATTGTGGCAGCTCCCTCTGATTCTCAGTTGAAAAAGGTGAAACTGTGAGGTTTGTTGCAAGACATTTATGTTGTGTGCAGCAAACGGATAAGCATTCTTTTTCCCTTTAGCTGTAGATTTCATGCAGTTAGCGGTTATAGGGCAATGCGATTTTAAGAAACCTTGGGTGAACGCGCCGGCCACAGGAACCACCTCGCACTCTTGCCAATCCGGCCGATTTAATTCGGGCTGCCCAATTTGAAATTGGCAAATCCCTCTTAACCACACACCGAGTTTCGAAGCCAATCGCACACCGCTTTGAAATATTGATGAATTTCACTAGTTCTTTTTTACGCAGATTGTGCGTTGATAATCAGTATTCGTTCAAATGCTTTAAAGGGTGGGAGACTGTCGATTAGATTGCTAATGTTGTCAATTTTGCCACCTGCTGGCATTGATCAATCCCTCGGACTACGGCAAGTCAACTGTGGTTCTTAGGCACATTATCATTCCTAAACGCTACCACACTCCAGCGATTGAATGAATTATAACAATTTGGGTTTACGATTAAATTCTGCAATTATTTTTTTGGTGGCCGTATGTGTGTGTATGCATGTGTGTATTTATCTCATGGGGAGTGGCAGTGGAGTGATTCATGCACTGCACTACAAACCCAGCAACTTGAGTTTGATTCCTGCTTGCGACCGATAATAGTGGTGAATATTTTAACTGGTCCTGGGCCTCTCCGAGGTTGACTCAGCCTTAAATGAGTACCTGGTATGGTGTTTAAACATCAGTACTGGGGAGATAAAGCCAGGCGGGCATGGTACTGGCCACCCACCCCCTTGTGTGCCATGCCGGCCTTCATAGGTACTCGGTAACAGCACATGCCCCAACAGTTTGTTAAAGGCTATATGGGGGATCTCTGTCTTTGTAATTTTCTCTCTGCGTCTATGTCCATACACGTATGTACACTCATCGCTCACGTTGCACGCTTGCTCCAGGCTGCTCTGCCCTACCTTGGCACCATGGGGATCAGGAGGAGGAAGAGAGGGCGAGGGCTCCACGCTCCCCGCTCCCTCCTCATCGCCCCCCAGCTCCAGCCGCACGTCGTCGGGGCCCAGGGCTCCCGCCTGCTCGTCCCACCACTTTGCAGCCTCGTCCTCGTCCTGACCAGCAGCCACCAGGGACCCAAACACCGGCTCCAGCTGGACTCCTGCCAGCGGAGGCCCAGCGTGAGATGAAGTTACAACTTCATAACGTGCAAAAAAAACCAGTCAGTTCCATAGATTCAGAGGCGTGGGAAGCCACAGACGATCGGCAAGACGGGGATGACCGCCGACGAGCTGGAAGTAAGCGGCGCGGAAGGATGTAGCGCCTACAGATGCGAGGTGGGCAGAGCTCAAAAGTGATGGCACAAGACGCTGACAAGTGCCACGGGATGGACCGAGTTACTTGGCCATGGCCTGGCGGTCATGCGGCCTAGCAGTCGCGCATTTGCCGCTTGTTGCACAAGTCCACGGTTCGAAACCAGCGGCCTCCCTGATTATTACTGCGGGCGTATTTACTGGAGTAGTCCAACGTGCCGTCCGCCTCGCTCACGTTCACTGTTGACGGTTAAAAAAAATCCCCCTGATGTGGGTGGATGGAGGGTGCCCTATTTCCCTTCTTTCTCTCCCATGTGTGTGGTTCCCTTGGGCCGGAATGGATGACTCCGTTTCTTTTTTTGTAACCCCGTTACCGGAAACTGTTCGGCGTGGTACGCCGGGCTTGCATTATGTTGTTCGCAAGAGTAGGCCCATTGTGTGCTGGCGTCAGGGTCCAAACGTTGCCAGATAATAAAAAAATGTCCACCGCAAACTGCTCAACAATATGGAGTACAGTAAATGGCAATCATCGCCCCCCCCTACCACCCCCCCCCCCCCCCCCCCCCGCTTGCAAAAACATGGCAGGACCCTCCTGAAATGAAAGTCATGAGACTCAGCAAGGCTTTCCTGGGTTGGGCAACCATTGTAATGATACAAATAGCCAAGTGTAAGCAGCGGTGCGAGCAGCAATAGCAGTGTCCGCAGCAATAACAGCAGAAGCCTCTGCAGGAGCAACAGACGTGTTCTTGAGCAGTAACAGCAACTCCAGCGGGAGCAGCAGGAGGTGTACAGGCAGCAGCAGTATTATCAGCAGCAACATCAACATCTGTGAAAAAGAGCTTAACAGCTCATTGTACCAAACTCACTGCATCAGTGAGTAGCGAGATGGAGGGGGGGGGCAAACATCAGACACATTATCTGGTGATGCAGCTGCGGCTGCTTTAGGCAGTGATGGCCTAAGCACAATGAACAGAAAATATTCCGACATTCATAAATAACCAAACTGCGGTTAAAAGAAAACGTAGGTGACGTTTTTGGGCAAGGCGGTACGAAGATTAATTTAATTCGTTTCACTCATTTATTAGTTATAACCCTGTGAGCCATACGGCTCTTCACTCGGGTGCAACCGCAACAAACAAAAACATGAACAGGAAACATCTTAAAGTGACTACACGCAACAGAAAAATCCAGGAAAAAACGGCAAAGTCTTCCAGAAAAAACACCGTATATCAACGGAGATGGCCCATTGCCCCAAACATCGCCCTTTAAATACTTTATTTCTTTAAAGGTCAGAGTGTCACTGATGAATGTGTCGAGTTTCTTTGTTGTTGTTATTTGTGCAAACATTTGGCGCTTAGGCAATCATTCCAGACGCCCCCCCCCCCAACGCACGCTCCAAATCTCCAATTTTCAAGCAATTCCCCACTCGTCCACCCGCAGCATCGCCTCTGCTCATTCCCACGCTCATTCGCTTCGCCGCTTCTCCGTGTTTACGCCCGCCGGGTCTCGTTCGCACCTTCCCCGATGTGCTCGGCGTTCATCGTCAGATATTTGGTTCGTCGGTCACTTCGTTGTTTCACACAAGACGCGTCGGCATCCCCAATTCAATTCTGCCACCCGTGGACCCCGCCACCACGTTTTACTGATGAGTCTTGAGAAATAAATGAGCAATCAATAACATGGGAATGTTACGCTGAATGACCAGGCAATCGGTTACTCATCGTAAGCAGCAGCAGCAGTCATGATCAATCCACTGCTGGATGAAGGTCTCCCCAAGCCGTTGCTATCTCTCTGTAATCCCACCAATCACCCGCACACGTGAACCAACCAAGCCGGGCGGTGGCTCTGTTGCACGTGGCTGCCTGTAATCCAACACTGTCGAGACAACAGCGAGGCGTTGGTGGATCACCCCACCAATGCTCTCAAACTCCCATCCCGTGGGCGTCGAGGAGGAGCCATCGCCTGTCTCGCCGGTCAAAGGCGGTACAGTAGTACGTACACATCGCAATCTGTCTGTCTCATCTGTATGGGGATATAGTGTTGCCCCCTCGCACGAGTGGGTATTCTCCAGGTGTTCGGATTTCCTCCCACATGCATAAAGAAAGCACATTAATATAAAACGCCAATGTTGCAAGACCCTCCTGGGAAAGTGATGTTATTAGAATTACGTCCAACGTAAAAACATTTTTTAAAATGTGAAAACAATCCATTCTCACACGTGGGATTCAATGCAAGTATTGCGGGCGTGAGAATCGATTTTAAATCAATAAATCAAAGAATCGTGAGAAGCCTTCCAGGGTTGGCATATAGTACAAGAGAAGCAGCTACTGTACCTGTGTTGGTTTGGTGGTGTTTTTTTTCTTCGAAACGGGCGATGGGGCCCGATATCCGTGTTGTCGTAAGCGTCAAGAGAAGTTCGGTTTGGCGAGGTTTCTATGAATCAAATCGCCCGGTCACGTTGTCGCCAATGTCAGACAGAGCTGGCTTCTTCCAACTCCCCTCGAGCCAGAAAAGATTGGCTTGAGGCGGTTCAGCGACCCTACGGGCCACCACCACCCACGACCTTCAGCGACGCGTGTTCAGCTGCGGTCATGCACCGCTTTTGAGGCGAGGGTTTGTGGATCGCGCAGAAAAGTATGAAAGTTCCCAAGCCACGCGCTTCGGATGCGAGGCGGATATAAAATGCCGAGTGAGTTTGTGAACCGATCTATTGGGACCTTTCAGTTATCGTGAAACGTCGTGATTTTTGTTATTTTATTTTTATCTACGTGACTTTACCGAACCAAAGAGTATGGATCCTTGCAGTCACGAAAGCTTCAAATCTAGAATAGGACCTTTCAGTTCTTTGTCCTCGTACACTGCTCCGTGGGTTTCCTCCACGTGCGGTGCTTTGGTTTCTTCCCACATGCAGAGACACTTCGATGCAATTCTTTATTTACCGAGTTTCATGCCTTGTGTTCAACACCTTAGAATGGCCGATTGATAGCTGAACAAAATACACGTCGCTGCGTGCCGTGCAAAGTTACTCGGTCGTCCCTTGACAAATTACCCTCTCGGTGTCAACAGCGCCTCATCTGGTTTACATTCAGGATCTGCCCGTGCTCTTGTGTTCAGTGCAGGCAGGCAGGCATCGTATGTCTCACACACAATGGCCGCGCGGCGCCCTTAAGTACTGAAGCGGTTAATTCTTCTCACACTCGTGGTGATTTTACTTAGCCGGGTGACGGCGGTGGCTACGCTGCTGTACGTGGCGTGTAGCCCAGCGTTGTGGAGACAGCAGCGGGGGTTGGTGGATCACCACGCAGATGTGGCTTTCCAGGATAAACCATCATCATCACGGTCCATGGGCAGATAGCCCGGGAGGTGTCAACTGCACATTTCGTCATTTGTTTCAACTTTCCTCTGTCTTGTGCCAATACGCTCAAGTTTTGCACACATCTTTTTTTCCTGGCACCAACCTCTGTTGCCGTCAAGCCATTCTCTGTTGGGCCTTCCTACCGGGATAAGTCATTATCATGAACAATATTATTTGGTGTAAGGTTTCGTCGCTGTCCAAGGGCAACGGACGCTTAACCAACTCTAACCCTCACCCAGCGGGTGGCTCAAGGAAGCGCCGCGTACAGAGGAGGGCGGTGACCACACCGCCCACGCGCATCCTGTGCGCTTCTGGGGGCACTCGCGTGGGCACGCACGCACGGAGGCACGGAACCAGACTCTTTGCCGTGAATCATTCACACGGGCCGCGTAGGAGGTGTGGCCTCTAGTTAACGGCATGCAGCGGTGCCACAGACCGAGCAGGCTGAAGTTCGCGTTGACCATGAATGTCAAAAGTCAAGGTTGAAACGCAGTAACTTTTTTTTAAAGCTCACCACATTCCTCAATGGCACTTTGGGGAAGCCTTAACAGTAAAAAAAATATATGTTATATGTATGTTTTTTATATATATACTAATAGAGATGATGTTTTTTGCCAATAGCTGTTCGTCACATTCACGGCCACTGTATCGACGGATGTGTTGAGTTTCTATTTTACTGGACATCTGTGAAAATGGCCTTCATAGCTCATCGAACTCCTCCAGTATAAATAAATATGACGATGACTCTGAGTATTTTGTTGTTATTTGTGCTTGTGCGAACCAATGTCGCCGCGACGGGCGCCAAGTCATTTAGTTTCAGCGTCTTCAAGACGATTCTGAGCCTTGAGCTGCGAGTTGAAGGGCCGCGTTCATCTCCAGTTTGGATTCCCTCGAGGCAACGCAGACCCGGAGCGTCGTCATCGGATAAAATACTACCCCTTCCATTCGTCCACGTCTCTCTCCGGCACCCTTTTTGCAAGTATCAAGACGAGATGCCAATCAGTTTCGAGGGCAATGCACACATTATCAAAGCACGTTTTGTTTGCACGTTTTACCACGAGCATGTGCAGACTTGATGTCTTGCAATAGGTGTATATTTGGTGTATTATTGCCAGAAAGGGTAAATCATGTTTTAAAATATATTTTATTCTTTCTGGGCCTATTGGCCATTTAGTTATTTTTTTTCTTTTTACGCTGGTGTTGAAAACGTATCTCATTGTGGTTGTCAAGGGGGTCCCAACTCGTAGCTTTGGCCACCAGGGGGGGCGAGGCACCCCCTGCCCCCACGCTCGTTACGCTACTGCCCCCCCCCCCACCCCCCCCCCCCCCCTTTTATCAGCACGGTGAATTACAACGAAACATCCGAGTTGAGATACGATGGCATACAAATACCAGGCAGGTTATTTTAGTGCGGGATGCTGGTAAGGCCCTACCGATATCTCTGTGGCACACTCCAGGTTGGTTCAGCATGAGTCTCTGCCTCCTCAGTAATTACCAGGTCAATGCATTCGTAACATTGAAGAGAGTCATCCCTTGACCACACCCAGGCACAGATCAGTCTCTCATTGTTTATGTACGAGATGTACATTCCTCCGTTACAGCCGTGAAAATGTCGTGAACGAAAGAGTAAAAGAAAACCGATGTTAAATAGTGTAGGAGCCAGAGGACATCTCTGTCGCTATCCAAAGTTAAAAAGTAAATGGCTCTGACTCACAACCACGCAGCTTTACCCTGGCCTGGCAACCACCATGAAGGTCCTTAATTTAATGGTAGTGAGCAGAGGGCCAGGGACCCTGAAAACACAAAGAATACCCCAAAGCCATGGTATCCATTGGCCTTGACCACGTCCATACAGCAGAGATGTAAGTCCGACTGAAATTTCACACAGCTCTGCTATAGTATACAGACCGAGAAAATGGAATCTGTACAGGTCTTCCCTGCCCTGATACCACATTGGGGCTCTGTAAGCTTCTCAGCATACTTCGCAGGGCGATGTTGAATAATTATTGCCAGGACCTTTCCCAGCACACAGAAAGATATGTCCTCGGTAGTTGCAGTATTTGGCTGCTATAAATTTCCACGTGATAAGCCACTTCGTTGAGCTATCATTTGTGACCAGGTAGCTTCTGAAAAGAGCTACATAGCTCAGTGGGCCTTACTTGGTGAAATAAACATTGTTTAGTTTTTTTAAGTAGTTTAGTTTTGAAGATTATTTGTTGCAATTGGAGTGGTTCCACTTCTTGAAAGGGGGATCCCCCCCCCCACCACGGCATTCTACTAATGCAGCCACTTACAGGGAGTGGGGAACTTCCTCCATTTAAATTTTGATTTAAAGCTTTCGTGACTGCAGTAATTCATATTCTTAGCTCTTTCGGTAAAGTCACGTTGAAGGGAAACAATAAAATAATGTTATGGTCGAAACGTCGTGAGATTTTTTATTGTTTTATATATATTTTATTATTTTATTGTTTCCCTTCAACGTGACTTTACCGAAAGAGCTAAGAATATGAACTTCCTCCATGTTTTGAGGCCCCGCACTCCCAGCAGGTAGGTGAAGCCTACTTTACCCCGTGATGTTATCTGTGTTGGATGTTTCTACCCTTTTCCAAAGACCTTTAGATGCTCTAAAAAGGTGCAAACAAGTTCGGCTCGCCATTTCGTTTCCTTTCACGATGGCAACTGCTATGACGCTACAAGTCACTTTATTGATGGAAAATCCTGTAGTCAGACTTGTGATCACAGGATGTCGAGGCGTTTCCCTTCTCATCAGAGATCCGCAACAACCACTCAATCTTTGCAGTGCAGGACGGCTCTCTGAACTCACACATACGTGTACACACTCGCACATCACATACAGAAACGTACACTAAGGGTTGTATGCACATACCAACCCACGCACTAACACACACACAAAGACAAAGATCCACCATATAGCCTTAACAGACTGTTGGGGCAAGTGCTGTTAGCGAGCACCTATGAAGGCCACACACACAGCCACCATATACACAACTACCGTATACACATGTACTCTGTGTGTGAACACCCAGACGTGTACACACTCACAAAGACAAAAATAAACAAAGACCCCCGTATAGCCTTCACAGACTGTTGGGGCAAGCGTTGTTACCAAGCACCTATGAAGGCCGGCACGGCACGCGAGGGGGTGGGTGGCCAGCACCACCCCCGGCCGCCTTTGTCTCCCTAGTGGCGATGTTTACACACCGCAACCAGGTACTCATGTGAGGCTGAGTCGACCCTTGGGGAGGCGCCCCAGGACCGTTTCAGATAATCACCACTGGTGTTCGTGGTGGCCGTGTGCGGGAATCAAACTCGGGTCGCCAGGTTGGTAGCGCAGCGTGCTAACCGCTACCCTACCGCTCTCCACTCTTGTGTGTGTGCGCGCACACACACATACGTGTTCCCACTCACCCACACGTAAAGACTTACACTCAGGATGTACGTGCATACCAAATACAAAGATCCCCCGTATAGCCTGAACAGATTGTTGGGGCAAGGTCTGTTAGCGAGTACCTATGAAGGTAGCCACGGCACACGAGGGGGGTGGGTGGCCAGCACCACCCCCGGCCGCCTTTGCCTCCCCACAGGCGAACAAAAACTCCACAAGCGCACACACGTACACACACGTACGCACACGTACACACACACGTACACGTACCTTCACACAACCCCGGAGAGCTTCTGCGCGACACACACACACACACGCCACTGCTGAGCTGCTCTTGTGCCAGGCTAGGTTCCCCGTGCACCGCCACACTCTACTTGCTCAAAATCTGCTTTCTGGGGCGTGAACGTTCGCTGACCACGACTTCCCGCTGTGCGCGAGCATTTCCTCGTGCGCACGTGTGCACCCACTTACGCACGTGTGCACCCACTTACACACGTGTGCACCCACTTACGCACGTGTGCACCCACTTACACACGTGTGCACCCACTTACACACGTGTGCACCCACTTACACACGTGTGCACCCACTTACGCACGTGTGCACCCACTTACGCACGTGTGCACCCACTTACGCACGTGTGCACCCACTTACACACGTGTGCACCCACTTACACACGTGTGCACCCACTTACACACGTGTGCACCCACTTACACACGTGTGCACCCACTTACACACGTGTGCACCCACTTACGCACGTGTGCACCCACTTACGCACGTGTGCACCCACTTACGCACGTGTGCACCCACTTACGCACGTGTGCACCCACTTGCGCACGTGTGCACCCACTTACGCACGTGTGCACCCACTTACGCACGTGTGCACCCACTTACGCACGTGTGCACCCACTTACGCACGTGTGCACCCACTTACGCACGTGTGCACCCACTTACGCACGTGTGCACCCACTTACGCACGTGTGCACCCACTTACGCACGTGTGCACCCACTTACGCACGTGTGCACCCACTTACGCACGTGTGCACCCACTTACGCACGTGTGCACCCACTTACGCACGTGTGCACCCACTTACGCACGTGTGCACCCACTTACGCACGTGTGCACCCACTTACGCACGTGTGCACCCACTTACGCACGTGTGCACCCACTTACGCACGTGTGCACCCACTTACGCACGTGTGCACCCACTTACGCACGTGTGCACCCACTTACGCACGTGTGCACCCACTTACGCACGTGTGCACCCACTTACGCACGTGTGCACCCACTTACGCACGTGTGCACCCACTTACGCACGTGTGCACCCACTTACGCACGTGTGCACCCACTTACGCACGTGCGCATGTGCGCATGTGCGTAAGTGGGTGCATGTGCGTAAGTGGGTGCATGTGCGTAAGTGGGTGCGCTTGCAGAATCGGTGCTGGGCCGCCCCTACAGGTCGACTCGGCCTTAAATGAGTACCCTCGTGCATGTGCGAATCGGTGCTGGGCCGCCCCTACAGGTCGATTCGGCCTTAAATGAGTACCCTCGTGCGGTGTGTAAACATCGCCACTGGGGAGACAAATGCGTGATGCTGTTTACTTCATTAATTGATTCTTCCGCCTATGTTGTCGACTGCTTCATCCCATCCACACTGTTCAACCAACGCCGCCACCACACTGCAGATCACAACAATACACTCGCTTACTCACTCACGCATTCACACGCACCACACCCACTCATCACCCACCCTTTCAAACACGTCCGCACCCACCCATTGTGTCACACACTCGCCCCGCTCGTTCACCACACTCCAGATCACAACAACACACCTCCGATTAGCACGGTTGGCTAAGTAAGGTGCGAAATAAGTTATACATACATTCGTTCACTCATCCATTCACACACTCACCCACTCACTCGCTTCTCTTGCTGATTTTTCCCTCGCACTGCGCTGTCCCCCAAGCTCTTTAGGGGCCGTCCATAAATGACGTCACGCGATTTTGAACGATTTTTACCCCCCCCCCCTCGTCACACGGCGTCACAAAAAGTCAGACCCCCGCTCAAATATGACGTCACAAAGCTCTGCCCCCCCCAAATTACAAAACATGCTTCAAATCGCTTTAAACTTGTCATTGTGGTGCGTATTCAATGTACTGCTGCACTCTGATGTTGTAGGAGAAAACATTTATCAAAGAGTATATTTAATAAAGTAGAACGTGTTGTGTATGTTATTTAAAGTTGCGCATTTTGATGTGACGTCACATTTCTCAACCCCCCCCCCCTTCGTCACACATCGTCACAAATGTCTCACCCCTCCCCCCTAGGTGCGTGACGTCATTTATGGACGGCCCCTTAGTAATAACCTCGCTCAATTGAAGAAACGTGATACACTCATATCTATTACAACGTTCATAATGCTGCTTGTTACTGACCCCTTCATGATTTTGTCCCTTTAGACCGGGGCTTAGCAACTATGTAACAAAGATCCCCCACATCGCATTTACAGATTGTTGGGGCAAGCGCTGTGAGCAAGCAACCTGCAAAGGCAGGCACGCCAGGCCTCCTTTGCCTCCCCAATTGCAGTGTTTACCTACCGGGTCACTCATTTAGAGTCCCGGGACCGGTCCGGTTCATGGCCACCGGCGTTGGCCGTGAGTGGGGGGGGGGGGGGGGACCCCCCAACTCTGCCCGCGGGGCTGGCAGCGTCGTGCGCGCTCACCAAGAACTCCGCCGCCTGCCTGCCCCCCACCACACTCCGCGACTTTGCCCTCACCTTGCATGGCGCGCCCGGCTCCGTTCTTCGCTCATCCCCGCGTTACCCGGAGCCCATGGAGGACGAGGAGGAGAGGAGGAGAGGAGGAGGTGACGGAGCGAGGAGGGAGTGAGTGATGGGAGGGTCTCCTCTTGAAGTTGCCCAGGAGCGCAAGGCAGCAGAGAGTGTGGCTGGAGGGGAGGAGAGGCGGGTTAATGAACAGAATAAACAGCGACTCACAACACCCTCCAATCACTCACAGTAATTCACAAAGACAAACATCCCCCGTGTAGCCTTAACATACTTTTGCGGCAAGTGCTCTTAGCCAGCAGGCACCTATCAAGGCCAGCACGGCACACGATGGGGTGGGTAGCCAGCGCCACACATGGCCGCCTTTGTCTCCCTAGCGGCGATGGTTACACATCGCACCAGCTACTCAAATATTTGAGGCTGAGTCGACGTAGGGGAGGGCCAGGATCGTCACTGGTGTTCGTGGCCGTGAGCGGGAACCGAACTCGGGTCGCCGGTTCGTATCCGCAGCGCACTAACCGCTACACTACCGCTCCCCACTAGTCAATAACACGCACGCACACTGCAACACAAAAAGTGGACACTTTTTTTGTAAGCCCACTGCTGGATGAGGTCCTCCACACACCGTGCCGGCCGGGTGGAGGGGGGAGGGTTGCTTGACCATACTTCACCACGCTGGTCAATACAGCTTTGTGAAGGCGGGTAGGAGCACATTCCAGTAGGTTTGCAGTGCAAAGTTCAGTGCACTGAATTCTGCTGACATCGCAGCCCCCGAGCAGCCTATAACAACTTATAGCATGGCTATAAGGTCACCAATCCAAGCACCATTAACCAGGCTTCATACCACCCCTGTTCGGCTGCAGACATAATCCGATCTCGGGAGCTCTTTCCGAATGAATGAGTTAATCAGTTACGCGCGTAGCAACACCCACAACAAGACGCGTGAATTAATCACACGCCTTTTCAACACACACACGCGCCTTTTCAACACACACACAGCAAGGGGTCGTATCCTCTAAGTCACGGCTCGGCTCTGGCTCAACCAAATGGAAATCCTCTTGAGCCATGGCTGGGACCATGGCTCGCTCAGAGCCAGTCCGAGTTAAATGCGGCCCAGAGCCGGTTCGAGTTAAGCACAGCTAAGAGGTGGCTCACTTGAGCCATAGCCGAGCATGGCTATAAGAATATGGGCCTAAGACTCACATACACACACATTTGACATTAACACACACGCAACACAACAAACACATGGGAAATGCACAATAACACACAGAGACTAACGCGGGGAGCAGCCGAGCGCATAAACACACAGAGAGCGCTCTCAAGCAGACTTAACAACATACAGTGACATCGCCAATGTGTAACAAAAAACAGACACAATAAACACAAACGTTAAATATTCATATAAAACGAGGAAAACACTCACACACGGTACACAATAACACACACACGGTACACAATAACACACACACGGTACACAATAACACACACACGGTACACAATAACACACTCACACGGTACACACTAATACACACTGTACACAATAACACACACACACAGTACACAATAACACACACGGTACACAATAACACACACACGGTACACAATAACACACACAGTACACAATAACACACTCACACGGTACACAATAACACACACGGTACACAATAACACACACACACGGTACACAATAACACACACGGTACACAATAACACACACGGTACACAATAACACACTCACACGGTACACAATAACACACACGGTACACAATAACACACTCACACGGTACACACTAACACACACTGTACACAATAACACACACACACGGTACACAATAACACACACGGTACACAATAACACACACGGTACACAATAACACACTCACACGGTACACAATAACACACACAGTACACAATAACACACACGGTACACAATAACACACTCACACGGTACACAATAACACACACAGTACACAATAACGCACGCGCTCAACGCGTACACACGGAACACACACAGGTCACTGAATACACACAAACCTGTCAACCCCCTTAGTGTCCTACCTTATTACAGACCAACTCAGACCTTATTAGTCACCCCGTGACCCTTATAAATCTCAACGTTCATCCTACAAAGTCCCATCACAAGGGAGAAACACAAACAAATAGACAACACATTATTTTTGCCCGCATTGAAACGGCTGTGCGCCGTATGGAACTGAAAAATCAATTTCCCTGCACAAGAATAGGGGGCAAACCGTGTGGGTTGACACGGTACGATACACACACACACACATGGCAATACACACCATGACACTGGGACACAGTATAACACACCAAAGCACACTTTAATGAGTAATTACACACACACACTAAAACACACTGCAACAGACTCACCTGTAACACTAAAACGAACACACTCACTACAACACACGCTAAAGCACCGTCAGTGAAACACACTACAGCAGCCACGGTGCCCGTGCCAGACTCGGTGCACCTCGAGGCTATCACGTGACGTGTGGAAGGTTCTCCGACGGCTCACGGGACACACCCGGGCGCTGTGGACTGACTCGGCCAACACCCACACACACACTAACACACATTGTAACAACACTTAAACACGACCACTATAAACACTCAACACACACTCACTAGAACACAAAGATCCCCCGTGTAGCCTTGCCAGACTGTTGGGGCAAGTGCTGTTAGCGAGCAGCACCTGTGAAGGCCGGCACGGCACACGAGGGGGTGGGCGATGTTTACACACCGCACCAAGTACTAATTTGAGGCTGAGTCGACCTAGGAGAGGCTCAGGACCGGTTCAGATAATCGTCACGAAAAACGACACTGCCGCTAACACGCACACGAGCACACATCACAACGCACTAAACAAGCCCACTAGAACACTAACACGCACGCAAACACACAAAGATCCAACGTAATAACCCCAACAAACTGTTGGGGCAAGTGCTGTTGGCGAGAAACCTTATTTACGTACCACACACGGCTCACGAGAACAACACACTCAATTCACTGTCACCTAAGACCATGACAAGTCACCCGGCACCCCCACACCCCCTCGCTCCACGCCAGAGTCTCTTGGCTCGAAGCGCGGCGCGTCATTGTGATGTGACATGCGCCTGTGTGTGTGTCTACACGGTCAACACCAAGTGACGATTATTTGAACAGGTCCTGGGCCTCCCCTAGGTCGACTCAGCCTCAAATGACTACCTGGTGCGGTGTGTAAGCAAACATCGCCACTAGAGAGACAAAGGCGGCCGGGCGTGGTGCTGGCCACCCCAGGCCTTCACAGGTGCTGCTCGCTCACAGCACTTGCCCCAACAGTCTGTCAAGGCTATAGTTGGGGGATCTTTGTCTGTGTGTGTACATGATAAGCGTGCACCACCACAAGGCGTGACGCGGCCCTCTCGATTCCTATATTTGCTTCACCGCAACACCGTGGTCAATCCACTGCTGGATGAATGCCTGCTTCCTCTCCCGAGCCGTCCGTCACCATCTCTCACGGTCCACTGGGACGAGAAGGATCCGACAGGTCTCTGGCACGCGAATCTGTGTCCCTTTCCCTTGGCTCCCATTCCCTCATTTCGTCTTCACCGGTCGACCCATTTATTCACTTCTTCATTTATTCACTTCTCCATTTATTCACGTATCATTCATGAATTTCTTCATGTATACACTCATTCGTTCACTTCTTATTTCTTCACTTATTCGTTTATTCACTTCTTCATTTATTCCCTTATATATTCGCTTCTCCATTTAGTCACTTCTCATTAGTGTCCTGGCTGCCGCCAACCGTTAGGCTGATGCTGTTTTGAACCTTCTGTCTCCTTTAGCCCACCGTGTGTGTTAACTCTTCCACCCTTCAGCAGGACAGCGGCAGTGATAAGCATCTGAAACAAAACCGAAACCCGCCATTCGCTGCCCCGACCGCGCACGTCCACCGAATGTGTCACATTCGCCGTGGCTATTATCCACCGATAAACCCACAGAATTGGTACACGGTCGTCGGTGTGTGTGTGTGGCCTTAAAATAATAATAATATATACTGTGATAGTGCGACGTTTCGAGCAATGAACCTTGAATAGCACACAAAACAAGAGAGATAAGAGTGGGCGATGATACGAGCAACTTGTTTACACTGTTGGAGTCCCGATTAGAATGAAATTTAAAAATAAAAATGCCTCCCGATTATCAGGTTTTTTTTACTCGAATATGAGCAGGCAACCGAATAGCAGGACTGTCGAGTAGCAAGCCCTTCAGTAAACAAAACGAGTGAGCTTGGTAAGCTTCACTGGCTAGGGTCAGTCAGCGTACCCTTAGCGCACCGCCGCCGTCACCCGTAATAGATTTATCATGGGGTTTAGGGTGATGGGGAGGGGGGTGATTTTAGATGGACAAGGCAGCCTCTGTCTTACCTGATCAGCCCAGCCGGAGCCTCATGAGCCAACGAGACGTCGCTTTGAATGGAGTCTGCGTCGCTGATTCTGCGCAGGAAGCCCGCGAGATGTATCCGAACATTTGACCAATTCCACTAAATCGGTGTTAAAACATCGAAACACATCGAAAAACATCTAAAAAAAAAACATACGCCCTCATCCAGCAATGAAAGGTTGTTACTTGTGTGTGTGTGTACAGTACTCGCCCGCGTACGCTACCGCGTCCCCGTGTACTGGAACTACTTTCCACGAACGCGCCCACCGACCTCACCTGGCGCAAGCTTCTTCCGGCACACCTGTGAGTGAATCGGCGCGGATGCTCTCGCCCACCTCGCTGCTCGTCATGTCAAGCGGCCCCGGGTCTGCTGTGCATCGCCAGCAGCCGTGCTGCGAAAGAGGAAGATTGGTATGACCCAATGAGACGAGGTGTTCACCTTTATGGTAACAAGACAGGTGTTAAAGATGTCGTATATGTTAACAACTTATCAGTGGCCTACCTTATTGTAGACCAGTTCAGACCTTGTTGGTGACCCCGTGACCTTTATAAATCTCAACGTACATCCTACAAAGTCCCATCACAAGGGAGAAACACAAACAAATAGAGAATCACGACTACACTCACCACTTATACACTCACCACTACACTCACTACTAGTACACTCACCACTAGTACACTCACCACTACACTCACCACTACACTCACCACAGTACACTCACCACCAGTACACTCACTACTAGTACACTCACCACTACACTCACCACTGGTACACTCACCACTAGTACACTCACCACTACACTCACCACTAGTACACTCACCACTACACTCACCACCAGTACACTCACTGCTACTACACTCACCACTAGTACACTCACCACTAGTACACTCACCAATACACTCACCACCAGTACAATCACTACTAGTACACTCACCACTAGTACACTCACCACTAGTACACTCACCACTACACTCACCACTAGTACACTCACCACTACACTCACCAATATTACACTCACCACTAGTACACTCACCACGACACTCACCACTAGTACACTCACCACTAGTACACTCACCACTACACTCACCACTACACTCACCACTACACTCACCACTAGTCCACTCACCACTAGTACACTCACCACTACACTCACCACTAGTCCACTCACCACTAGTACACTCACCACTACACTCACCACTAGTACACTCACCACTACACTCACCACTACACTCACTACTAGTCCACTCACCACTAGTACACTCACCACTACACTCACCACTACACTCACCACTAGTACACTCACCACTAACTTACCTGTCAACCCCTTATCAGTGCCCTACCTTATTACAGAGCGATTCAGACCTATTTGGTCACCCCGTGCTCCTTATAAATCTCAACGCTCATCCCACAAAGTTCCCATCACAAGGGAGAAACACAAACAGCAGGATTGACTCAAGCGAGACTGACTCTGCTACTAACAAGACACGGAATGTGGAAACCAGTCCCGAGTCGTCACTTATCTTCAATGAATGCTGATTGAATGATGCACTCACAGAAGGCCGTGTCGTGTGGCTGATGGTATGTGTAAGACATACATGTATACATGTGTTTACGTGGACAGGCAGATATGC